ATTCGTAAACTAAAGCAACTGTTTACGAGTTGCTAGTTGTAAATTGCCTTTTGGAAAATAAAATTAGCCCAAAAGGTTGACTAGTAACAATGATTTTTTAATATAAAAAAGTTCATACAGTACAATTTAGATTATTATATAAGGGCTATACTGTATTGTATAAATTTTATAGATATTGTACAATTTTTGTACAAAATTTATATAAAATCATACAGTACAAAATAGCTTTTCGTACTGTACAGTTTATCATCATACTTATTCCTCTTTTCGAGGCAAACATTTTGATAGTTGTTTCATTCAGATTGGACATTTCTACGTCAAGTTATCAATCAATACAGTTTATACATTTTTTATAGATTTTTTTAATTATAATTATTACTCCGTGGAGTAACCCGGAACAACCCGGAATAACCCGGAGTAACCTGTGGAGTATTAACCCAGTACATTTAATCCGGGTTGGGTTGGGTTGACCCTTGCTCCACTATAATATGAACCTAACCCAACCCATTATGTTTCATTAACAACCCTACCTACATATCATGGGTAAATGTTCAATCTATACCATCTTCCCAATTTCTGTTCTACCTAAAGACCTGGAAGAAAGACAACAACACGTTATTGAAATGGTGTTAGAGTGATTTCCTTATTTAACTCTGAAACATATCTTTAGAAATGATTACTTTGAATTTAATAGATCAGTACCATGCCTCTTATGTAATAAAAACCATAAAAAAGAAAATATAAAAGATCATATAGAGGGTATTTGGGGCAGTGGTGAATATTGTGGTGAAGAAACTTATTGTCTCTATTGCTATACAAACAAATATCAGAATTCAATCCAAATCGTATCTATAAAGGCATAAGTTAACTTGACTTCGACAATGATAAATCATTTTCCGCATATATAAAATTAAGAACAGGTGCTACACACTTATCACCTGAAGCAATTAGCGATATAATTACTAGTAAGGATAAAACAAATACATTACCGATACTAGCTAAAAAATATAATGTATCGCATGCACGGATTCGTGAAATATGGGAATTTGCTATTGCGATAAATAATTAGTAAAACCAACAAGGCTAATATATACATATCATTTTCCCGCGATCACATGCATACCGATTAACACTCAATTATTAACACGAATTAGCCTTTAGTATAACAAATAATTACTTTATTAATAGTAGATAGTGATATTATTTTTAGAAATTCAACGTGACATCCATGTCTCTGGCTCAACAATTACATAATTTATATTATCCTGACATAAGTTTGATACGGAAAATGAATTTATGTTCCTTATTAACCAGAGCTAGTAAATTTTGCGAAAGTGATCAGCGTTACAAATTGCGACGGGCACATAATTTATTGCAAACGTTTCATTATTAACATCATGAATTACAATAATAAGTATTTATATGATTACATTATACAAAATCTACCTTTATTATTTTTAATAATGCACTCGACCATTACTATATTTTAAATTTTACGATTACAAGTAAATATGATTTTAATAATAAGACGAATTTCTGTTATCCATTATAATTTTTACTTTTCGGGGTCCACCATGGTTTGTGTATATATTTGTATTTATAATGAGTGGGTTTTGTAGTATCAACTATACCATCCTCACTAAAAATATCATCAAATTCATGACGGGTTGTTTCGAGATTTTCAATAGTTTCAAATATTTTTTTATACATATCCTGTATGCGTTAAAACAAGTTAGTGATATAAAATTTCCTGATGATAGAAATGGAATCATAAACTTACGATAACCATCTTGATGACATTGATAGAAGTCTTTAATTTTTTAATATCTCGAAGTTTCGTAGGTAACTCAAATTTGGGTCCAGGAAAGACAATGTAAAAGCCTTCCACTATATCTTCAATCAACAATTGTCCGCTTGTGCCACCAAATTGCAAAAAAGGCACGTGGATGTCCTTAGCTTGTTCATCATTGAGATTGTATTCTAGCAATCCATTTAAAATGGATTGATTTATTCGGGCAGAACGGCATCTATCGCCGATAGTCTTAGTTGCTACAGCTCTTACAGAAAACTCCACTCCCCAAGATCAACACTTGATGTTGATAAAAAACGGACATCACATTTACGTCCATTGGTATAATTCACACTCCTACTTAACGGGCAAAAAGATTCTCCCCTTAAATGCATAAATTTAAATCATTAAAATGATTATATTTATAAATCATATATCAAACAATACTTATACCAACCATCTCGGATATATTTTAAGATTTTTGCATAATCCCTCAACAATATATGCACAGGTTTTTGAAATTACATCAATTTCTGTGTGTGTATTATTCTGATCAAAATTCAAGATATCCACTTGGTCCTTGCTTTTATAAATGCTGTGTACATTTAATTTTATAATAAGAACATTTTTTATTAGTATGATAAGAATTAGGTTCATAAAAATAAAGATCGGGTAAAATTAATAACTCACAAGTCACCATATATCTTGCTGATCTTATATAAATAGCTGTTTTCTTCTGACTTATAATGAATTTCCGAACAGTATTTATATGCTTGATCTACTTTCCCTTCACGTACCATCTACAAGGAATATAAGGAATATGAATTAATGAGTATGAATAGAGACAAACAAGTTAAATTTATGAAAGATAAAACTCATACATCCTCGATTTTCAAAAAAAATAAGTTTTCTTCCTCTTTCAATTCAGGAACTCGCAACATAGACTCGTAATTTTTCATAATAAACTTTCTATCCTCAACACAAAACCAGCTCTTCATGTAGCGGATAAATCAATTATATTTGATGCACCATAGCGAAATATAGATCTTTCAACGGCTGTTAGCTTCTTCTTTTTTTTGCTCACTTTTGCATTTTCAGAAATCTTATTAGCATATATGTTCCCAACATTCTGACCTGAAGGCAAGATCCAAGTCTTTAAACTGCCAGAGGGAGAGATAATTAATTCTTCTGAGGGTATATCCTCCTCATCATCACCATCATCGGTTTCTTGAGAGGAATCATCCGATGATATTAAATCTAGGGAGGTTGGTTTTTCAATTTTTGTACCATCAGGCAATATATTCCTCTAGAGAAAATTAATTCAATTTACCTCTTGTAAAAATTAAAGATAGTAAAGATTAAATTGTAGCCTAACCTTATTCCAGAATGGTAATTTCGATTTCTTCGCTTCTTTATAATGCTGGATCATCAATTGTTCATCATCCTAAAGGATTAAATGCAAAAACATTTAGTTCCGCTAATTCTTTAAAAAATTTCAAAATTCTTTCATCGTTGAGATCTCGCAATTGCTTTATGTTAAGAACTTACTGAAAAAAAAGGATTTGTCATCCCTCTTTCATTTGCAGGACCCGGTGTTTTATAATAATCTTTTACACTTTGTTCATCATTACTCTCATTAAATACAGCTGTAACTTCATGTATATTATCATTCCTTCCTGATGTGTGAACCTATTAGACATAATGAAATTAGCTATGTAATAGAACCTAGTTTCTCGTTTTGATAATTGGCTTAAAATATACTAACCACATCAATATTCTCTTCCATCTTCCTCTTTTTATTAATTTGTTGAATTTCCAGTGCCTTGTAATAATTACATCAATAAAAACTTATCTTATTCTTATATTTGGGAAAATAACAGAAAAAAAAAAAGAAAACTACCTCTTCTATTCGAGTTGTTGCTTTCTTAGCAATTAAAACTTTTGCAGTTTCTACGTTTTTATGCAATTCCCGGTTGTTTTGTTTCTGTAAAATAATAGGTTTATATTCGTAATAGATATGATGAACTTGTATCATGCAAAAGTTGTAATTCACTTACCACATCAAATTCATGGTCAATATCTTCGAAAAAATCTAAAATTTCTCTTCTCTGAAATGTTTCATTCGCGCTCTCATATAATCTCAGAGCTTTTTTTCTCACTCCAACATGCATAAAAGTAGATTCGTTAATTTTCTTGAAGACTCTAACAAACGCATGCAAGATTTCTTGTTTGCTATTTGAAGTAAATAGTATTCGGTTTTTCAAATATTGGAGGCAGTTCAGAACGTTCCAGTCTGTATGAGCGATTTCATCTTTAAAGTCAGAAATATAATAGTAAAAGTCCATATCTAGAAAAAAAATGAAAAAAATGTATTAATTGATCTGGAAAAAAACGCGAAATAAAAAGCTATTGTAATTGCAACTAATATACTGGAAGAGAGGTCCAGGCGTAGGCACTAAGAGTCACGTATGTGAGTCATAGTGATTATCCCACGACGTACCCTTCCAAACATCGGCCAAAGGGCTAAACCATATGGACGTAGGATACCATCAACGTAACTTTATATGTAATATCGCGAAAAGATACTTAACTGAGAGTATTTTTTCGTAATATAATTTTCTTTGGAAAAAGTGATCCGCATTAATTACTCCACAATATATATCGTAACACAGCAAATAGCTTTCACATGACACTGTAAAATTATTTTTTGTTGCAAACTACATTGTAGGCCAGCCAAGGTAACGAATAGATAGAAGTGTAGGGTGGAGACGAAGAGGTTTCTTTCGGTTATTCCAAGTAGTTTAGGTAATATCAGTGAATTGAATTCAAAATCAGAAATCAATTTTATTTTTGGGAAAAATTCCGTAAGGTATTAATATTTTGGTTGTGACAATGCATTTCAATTTAATAAACTTCTGGGGCTTGCTAACTAATGACTATTCTTTCGTACAGATTTTCGAGAAATGTATTAACATCGCAGAAGGCAGGCAACATAAAAGGAAAACGTTTCACCTTCTGAATCTCAAGTTTTTGATTCTTCTAGCTTTGAACCATCCAAATCCCAATCACCAATTACTAGGGTTGTTAATGAAACATAACGGGTTCATATTATAGTGGAGCAAGGGTCAACCCAACCCAACCCGAATTAAATGTATCGGGTTACTCCACGGAGTAATAATTATAATTAAAAAAATCTGTAAAAAATGTACAAACTGCTTTGATTGATAACTTGATGTAGAAATGTCCAATCTGGATGAAACAACTATCAAAATGTTCGCCTCGATGAGAGGAATCTAATGAGCTAAAAAACG